ACATGAGTGGTTACAGGTCTTGATCGGTTCCAAGATGAACTGTACTGTCGCATTGAGCTCAGCTGTCGCATACTGAGGAAAGTACAGGCGTACTGTTCCGGGCGCGGGTCAAGAACCATAACTCTTCACGGCCTCTGTGGCTCTTGTGTTGGGCTTGACAAAAGGAAATATACTGAACCGCAAAAGAAACGTCACCATGGATAGATATTATGAGAAACCTAATTTGTCCAACCACTGTAAACATACTTTGAGACATATTAAAAAGATGACACTTGGCAAAACTGATCATTAAGGTTGAAATTAAAGTGGTAAATGTTCTTAAATTAAACACAACACTAGTCTCTGAGAAAAGGGCATCACAAGTCAGTATCTCGTGTGTCCGCCATGTGCATTGATGACTGCTGCAACGTCGAAACATGTAATGGATGAGGCGGTTGATGAAGGCCATAGGCACTTGAGCCCACACACTGAGGAAAGCCTGATGCATTTCAGCTGCAGTTTGTCGGCCTTGGTCGGACGTCATTCAGCCGTCTTTGAATCTCGTCCCACAGGTGCTCAAAGGGATTTAAATCGGGGCTGAGGGCAGGTCACTGTATGGTTCTGATGCCTTTCTCCAGGAGGATGTCTCTTGTTGCTCTCGCAGTGTGGGCACAAGCGTTATCATGCTGAAACTCGTTGTTGCGGCGACATGCCAAATAAGGTATGGCGTATCAAGACTTGATCAATGTACCGAGCTGCTGTGACACCATTGCCTCTCCCTGGACCGATGTTCTGGAACACCACAGGGCCGACAACACAAGCATCCGAATAATGTTCCCCACGGCGCCGCCAGACGTCTGTCGTGCAGTTTCTACAGCAGTAACAAACCGATCTTGAAGATGCTGTCGCACAATCGGACGATCCTGACGTCGGGTGGTGACCCTTGGTCTTCCACTACGTGGTCGGTCATCTGAAGTGTTGGTGGTCTGGTACCGTTCCTGGAGCCTGTATATTGTCCAGCTTGCAGTCGTCCAGGGGCTTGGTGTCGCTGATTTCTTGTCAATCTTGGCATGTGGTAGCAATTCAATAACGAATGAATGTTATCCGATCTGGGTGGATTTTTATAGGGCAAGAAATGGGGGAACGCATGTGCATTTCAATCTACACACAACTCATGTGCATCGGGTTACCATAGCCGTTGCCGTGATGCGTTTTGGCGATCGGTTATATTGTCATCTGTTATGTTTTTTTATCATCAAATTTCATTTTTCCGGACAAGGTAATGTTAGATTGTAGAAACTTTGACAAAAATTACCCAGATATTTAAATGAAAACTTTTCATGCAATGTTACTTGGGGTGACGTTATTTCGCGGTTCAGTATATTTCTCGGGAATCAACGCGTGATTTAAAATCCTGCGCGTTAGTCACATTTATTATTTCATTATAGATTTTTTTCAAATCTCCCACGTCACATGAAGCATTCTCCGTTATCAACAAAATGCCCGACTTGGTTAATGCATGTTCTCGTACCCTTATTGCGATGATTGATGCTCATGTTGTCTCTATTATGTACAGACCGCCGTCATATAGCTAGAATATTGCTGAGTGCGGCGTTACACAACAAAACAAACAGAAAAAAGTCATGCTTTACAACGGGTGGCCGAGTTTATTGCAATATAAAGCAAATATAGATAAAATCCTACTCACTTTGGAGAAAAATGGCTCGAGAAACAATGTTTTATTCAGCCTGACCGAAAGCCAACACGACAAGTTTGTGACAAAAATAACAGATTGTACACAATATGTCATTGACAATAGTGATGAGATTCATGATATTGGCTCTATGTCTACCTGTGCCACTTGTCAAGACCGGCCAAACCTGCGATTGATAGTAGGAGCAACATTCCACGCCGACAGGGTACTATGACACGCAATAAACAAAATCACCCAGCCTAATCACCCGATCCACTTAGTCGTTGGGGGACAAATCCAACCCGGAATCCCGACGGGAGACTTGTCGTGAGACCCGGCATATTAGGAATGAGTGGCTGCCTTGTTCCTGCTTTAACCTGCGACGTAAAACAACATTTACTCAGGGACCGGCATTTCATGGCTTGACTATTGCAACCAATGGGGAACACAATGCCCTGCAACAGTCATGGTTTGAATGTATTATTAATTCATAACCTTACCTGGTTCATCATTCGTTGATCTGAAGCTGCCACGATGGAAAACCATGATTTAAGATTGATATCAGATGTTGATTGAACGTCGACATTTCAACAACATTGGAACAAACAAAAATCGATGCTATTTCAACATTAAAGCACAAAATTGATTCAACGCTGTAGTGCCTGCTGGGTAATATCTTCATTAATGCACAAGAGATGCTATTGTCAACTTAAATCTACCCTCCGATCATCATTTTGTAACTGCATCCACCAGCTTACATGACTATACATGATCCTTATGTAAATGGAGCTCCATAATTATGTAAAATACATATCTATACACCGTTCTCAAAGCTATATAACCCCTAAAGATCCGGGTTAGACCTAATATTCAGCAACCCATGCTTGTCGTAAGAGGCGACTAACGGGATCGGGTGGTCAGGCTCGGCATCCTGGCTGATGCATGTCATCGTATCCCAATTGCACGGGTCGATTCTCATGATTTCAGTCACTGGATTGTCTGGTCCAGATTCAATTGTTTACAGACCGCCGTCCCATAGCTTGAATATTGCCGACAACAACCAAAAGATAATAGATAGAGCGACTCAGATTTGCCATCTACAGGTTGCCGTTATAGAGCGGGGGCGGTCGGGTAGCCTAGTGGTTAAAGCGTTCGCTCGTCACGCCGAAGACCCGGGTTCGATTCCCGACATGGGTACAATGTGTGAAGCCCATTTCTGGTGTCCCCCGCCGTGATATTGCTGGAATATTGCTAAAAGCGGCGTAAAATCAAACTCACTCACTCACTCACGTAATAGAGCGACACAGATTGGCCATCTACAGGTTGTCGTGATAGAGCGACCCATATTGGCCATCTACAGGTTGCCGTAATAGAGCGACTGAGATTGGCCATCTACAGGATGTCGTGATAGAGCGACCCAGATTGGCCATCTACAGGTTGCCGTGATAGAGCGACAAGGACACTGCCTCTCTTCTGGCTAATCAGCGGTTTATCTTGACCTGCTCAGAGGCCGACATTTGTCCAAAGCCTGCAATAAATGTCAGTAAAACGTCACAAGTTGGACTAATAAAACTGCCAAATCATGTAAACATATGAAATCAATGCAAGGCTGTAATATAATGGTAAGATACCTCTGAAATAAGGAGAATAACTTCCTAAGAAGTCAAACTGTTGAACAAGTTAATGAAAGTTCCCCAATTTGCCTGCCAAGGACACTTAGTTTGGAATCTTAGAATGCGTGTCATCATTCTGCAAAGGGATTAAACAACAAACAAACATACCTACTACCGGCCGCGTCAAACACAGATTTTAAAAGATGGTACTTGTTGTTACCCTGCCTGTTACGGGGGCTGGTCCGCTCGGAGTCGGAAAACTGTTTGAGAGGGGTACCCGGCCTGGCATTCAGTTGATTAGCACTATAAAATGGACATGAGTCCAGACAAGGACACGCGCGCTCAACTCCCCTCACCCCTTTACCACCTTTCTCACGGGCTTTCCTCCTACATTGAGCTGAAACGCCGTCCTATTGATGAAGTACTGTCCAAAGTGGCGAAAAGCCCTGGACGCTGAATTCTTCGTGTTAAGTTTGCTTCCTTTGCCGTGCCAGGATCCGCTGGTCTTAGGTTCGAATCCCATATTTAACGGGATTAGGATCTTTGGTTTGTCGTTGTTTCACCAAAGTGATACACATCAATGGCTGTTACAACTTCAGGATTCGCCAAATTTAAAATTCTATTCAAATCAGCGCTAAAACCAACTCGCTGATCTAGCTGAAGAGTTGACTCTTGAACAACTATATGACCTTTAGCAATAATCCAGCCTTATCATGTCGGAGGACACCGTTAATGGGCTTAACACACTATCCATATGAGGAGTAGAACCCGGATCTGTGACGTAACGAGCGAACGCTTTAACCTCTTGGCGACTGGAAACGACCCACTAAATATTTCAGACAAAAGCATCGTTTCTTTGTTTACTCTCGACAATGTACATCTCAACAAAACGTGTTTATTAGGTTGTACATGTTTATTACACAACAGACACATTACGTACAATAACACACAAAAGTCAGGCGAAAAGGATTTCTACTCCCCTTACTATGGTATTCCCCATTGCACGCATTATGTTTTTATTCGCTGCCATCTCACATATACCGCATACAAATTCACGTCGAGATATAATCAGGCGCTTTTGTCATGGTCGTGAGAAACATTCAATACTGTAAAACTAATCTCAATGCAACGTTATTGTAACTACATCTTGATGTTAATTCTTTAAGATTTGTCATCGTCGTTACACAATGTTCAGTGGACATTAGTATAGTGTGTGATGCTATTTTAAAAGTGGTCACAACACTTCAAATCCAGACCATAAAATGGAGGTTGTTTTGAATATGAATATGTACATGAGATCAGGTTTGTATGAGCAATTTCAGTGGTACACTCCAACATGTGTCATCAACAAATAGAGACTCTGGTCAACATATCGGGCAGGATACAAGATATGAGCAGTTTCTTGTCATGCGCATTGATGATATCACCCTCGCAAACAACTGCAATATGTGACGTAGTGTTCAGCCTTTTCCTTTGTCAAATACCGACAAATACCGGTTTGCAAACAACACCAACAAATCCCTTGTCCATTTGGCCACTCCTGCGTTTCCATTTCTAATGTCAACATTTCTTGGTCAAACACCATGGAAACGGTGCCACGATACTGACGTTGGTATCTTGTCGAGTACAAACAGTACCTTGAACGAGGACGGATCCACACCGGAGCCTTAAGACACGTGGTACATAAGACACGTGGTACATAAGACACGTGGTACATTTCTATAAAGGAATAGACAGTCGAAGTTGAAGTGTAGTTTGTTCTTCTTGGTCCCGGGATGTGCTGAAGTCGTTGTGCGTTCAATTCTTTCGTTGTGGCGACTTACCAAGTCACTCACGATATGGAAGAGGCGATTCTCAGGAGCCACGTGGAGGCGGCGGAGAGTTTGGCCTTGGATTCACACACCGCCACAATGATGCTGCTCTTCGTCTTGCTGGCAATCAGGTACCGTCCACCATTGAAGGCAACAACCTGTTCCGGACATGCGCTCTTCAGACAATACGTACATCCGCTGGCACGAATTGTTTCCGGGGGTTGGTCGCTGTGAAAACACTGATTGATTGCCTGGAACGAGAGTATGATGCTGTTTATGAATGCTGTCGTTGGAAAATGATGGAATGAATAATTATGTTTAAAGGAGATCAATTGAATCAAAACTTCATGACATGTTAAATGGTCAAAGTTCATCTTTACACAAAAAAAAGTCGTATGTGATTTTATTGTTACATTGACTACATTTTATTGTTTATTGTTTTCTAAAAGGAACTATTCAATTTCCCTGATCCACAACCATCGCGTACGCATATCGAAATCCCGACTAACGGCTGAACTCTAGCTGTGACGTCACAGTGGAGAGGCGCAGACTATTTCCCTTAAAGTTTGTTTTCAGTGCATTAATCTCCACGACAATGAAGTGGTTTTCCGTTATTCTCGGAGTATGGAAGTTGTGGTATTGTGGGATCTACTGGTAAACATCTTCCCAATTTACTGGAATGTCATTCCCAAATAGTGGGGGAAATTCTTGTAATGGCCGCTTGCGCTCTGAAAAGGAGCTTGACAAAGTAGCTTCCGAAGCGACTCCCAACATCGACACCTGCATTATTTCGTGTATGCAGCGGCAGACGGTGGTGCTGGGGAGTCATGCTATGCCCAAGCATGTACCAGTTGTGTTTAAGTGTGCCACGGCATACTGGGCAAGAATGTGGTCCAGAGATTGCAGTGCATATGGGTCGCGTATTCCTCTGTGTGCGATACGTGAGGTGATATGGGGTTTAACGTCGCGTCCAAGATTATTGCACTCATAAAGCGACGTGCATGAAGATATGTGTGGGTGTATGTGGCTGCTTGTACTAGTCCGAACTGATGCCGATATATAGTGCTAGACCACTGAGAAACCATGCCGCAGTTTAACACGAATACCCAATTCAGACAAAGTACTGACTCCGAGCCGACCAGTCCTTGTTTTAGCCCCTTAATGCCGAGCGCCAGATTATGTATCAACAGATACCATCTTATAACGTAAGTAACCCCGGACCTTTCGCTCTCCGGGCGGATGCTCTACCACAAGACCACGGAGGCGGTCCGTGTGAGATACGTCTATCTGGGAACAAGTGGGTGACGGTTGAGTTATGTTCATTGAGAAACATTAAATATTATGAAACCAACTCCGGCGCGTTTGTAACTCGAAGTTCAGGTACTTTCTTCTCTCCATTAAAAAGAAACCTTTAAATAACTTCAATATACTGAAAAACCTACATTGTTCGACGTAAAACAAGTAAACCATTTCACATTTATTTTCTGTTTCGATATCGAATGCTCGACTGTGTATTTGTTTGTTTGTTTGTTGTTTAACACTGCACTCAGCAATATTCAAGATATATGACGGCGGTCTGTAAATAATGGAGTCTGGAATAGCCAATCCACTGATTGACATCATTAGCATCGATGGCATGCATCAACCAAGTCAGCGAGACTGACCCCCCGATCCCGTTAGTCGCCTTTTACGACAAGCATAGTCGCCAATTATGACAAGCATTGGGTGCTGAAGACCTAATTTACCCTGGATCTTCACGGCCCAGTGTATTTGGATAATACATGCGTGTATTGTAAACGGTCAAAACAAAAGAAGAAAATGTCAAGCTGACTCTGAACATAAACTAGTCAATCTCCTCCCATGTGGGGAATCGAACACGAGCCATTGCTTTAACCATTAGTCTACCCAAACGCGCCTTACTTGTGTTCAGAGTGATATCTTATTTAAGAAACGTCACGCGTGTATCCTGTTTCAGCCGGTGTGTTAGCTTTGTTTTGATAGGACATAAGACAGCAGGCGTATATTTCATACCACCGAACCTGAAGCGTGTGTCCTTGGTTGTGTAATCTATTAGCGGATTCAGACGTTAGAGGTCAGTTGGGTATATGCTGACAATGTACACTCATGTTTTGAAGTGCTAAGCTTTATGGACAGTGTATATTTATGCGCGACGCCGATACTTTGACGTTTACTCAGTAAAAAAAATAATTGATAAACAAATTGGGTCTGTGTGAGTGAATGTTCTTTTATACCATAGTTGGGTAATTTTGCAGTTTTCAGACGGCCACCTGTGCCATGTCGGGTTTGAAGCGGATAAACAAGTGGTTGATGACACGAACACCGGTTAAGGCTGATCGGCCACTGAGGCAAGCGTGATAACTATTCTGTATCGGCATGCTCCGAGTTTGTCCGGCCTACCTGAAGTAGGCGACACGGTGAGGCGTGGCGAGGTGAGGTGAGGTGAGGTGAGGCGAGGTGAGGTGAGGTGAGGTGAGGCGATGTGAGGTGTGGCGAGGTGAGGTGAGGCGAGGTGAGGTGAGGCGAGGAGAGGCAAGGCGAGGTGAGGTGAGGCGAGGCGAGGTGAGGTGAGGTGAGGTGAGGCGAGGTGAGGCGTGGCGAGGTGAGGCGAGGTGAGGCGAGGTAAGGTGAGGCGAGGCGAGGAGAGGCGAGGCGAGGTGAGGTTTGATGGACTCTGACGTTGCCTTCGAGGTTATTGTACATGTATAACGAAGTACATGCATGTATGTGTTCTAGCCCGGACTAATTAGGTTTTATAGTAATACATCAAGGAGATGCCAAGCAGCAGACACTCAGACACAGTATATAGTGTCTCCGAGACGACAAATCCTTGTTTAATCCTCTTAAAGCAGAGAACCCGTGAAGATCCGAGAAAGAATAGTCTTCAGCAACCCATGCTTGCCGCAAAAGGCGACTATGCCTTTCGAAAGAGGCAACTAATTGGATCGGGTGGTCAGACTGGCTGACTTGCTTGATGCATGTCATCGAATCCCAATTGCGTGGATCGATGCTCATGATGTCAATCACTGCATTGTCTGGTCCAGGCTCGATCATTTACAGACCGCCGTCCTATAGCTGGACTATTGCTGAGTGCGGCGTAAAACAACACACACACAAGATACACACCATGATAGGTCGCTATTCTGAGTTGTTATAAATTGCAACATTTACCATCACTTCTTCATTTGTAAGATTGAATCCTTTGCTGCGGATTAATTTCGACCCAACATCCGGAATGATTGCCGCTTTTTTCAGCTCCATTATAGCCCCTCCTTGGGTGATTAACTTGATCCATTTCTTCCAAGATGGCGATCGGTTAGCGGTAGGATTGACACCAAAACCGAGCATACTTCTACACACAATGTCGATCTGAAACGAAACGAAATATGATTATATTTTATACATGTAAACGACTGGGAAATTAGCAGATTGAAGACAAATAATAATACATGTATGCTTCCAAACTTTAATAAATAAACACACAAATACAACCAACATAGAACTAAATCGAGCGGCGATTCGTCTACTACCACTGATCTAACCCAACTGTTGGCATTTTTGTTAAAAGCAGTATATTATTTGTTTGTTGTTTAACGCCGTACTTAGCGATATTCCAGCTATATGACGGAGGTTTAAAAACAATTGAGTCTGGACAGACAGTCAAGTGATAGACATCATGAGCATCGATCCACGCCATGCATCAACCACGTCAGCGAGAATGACCACCCGATCCCGTTAGTCGCCTCTTACGACAAGCAAAGTCGCCTTTTACAGCAAGCATTGGCTGCTGAAGACCTATTCCATCCCGGATCTTCACGCGTCCAGTATATTATTTCGCTCACTGATCCGCAGCATCATATCCTCCCGAATATCAAAGGGTCAGCCCTGACCATGTTGTGTTTAACTAACAACCTTCTGAATAGACAAGTTGGGCGGATTCCGAGGAAAATACTGTAAATATTGTTATCTGACAGGAAATACAATGTAACAATCTACGTTGTTTGTAAATTCATCCCAATATAACAATGATGAGAGGGCTCAAATATTTCAAAGTTCCCTCCTGTTCTTTTCTTTGCCTTGTGTGACGTGTTAAATATAAAATCCCTCTATTGAATCATCCTATATCTTGAAACTTTGTGCCAAAATATAATGTGTAGTGTATGTAATAAAACATACATATTTACTATTATTGTATATAAGTATGTGTACCCGGATAGATATAAACATAAGTCTAACTAAACAATCTGTGCTTCAACAATAAGGAGAAAGTAGTAACCAACATTACAAATAATTTAGAAACAGATCTATAGTGATATTACCTGCGACACTTATCTCTGTGAACTTCACAATATCACGTCCCACCTGTACAACACGCCAGCGTTAACTCAATGACTGCACGGCACATTTGCTTCAAACATGTTCCGCCTTTGAATTTAGGGAGAAATCATTTGATTTTCAGGCCTTGGTTAAACTGAATTATATTTAAATATTCCTCGCATTGTAAAAAAACCATATTGCGCCCTTGAATTGCAGTCGGTTTGTATTGAAATATTGAGAAGTCACAATTTAATTCATAACTGCTCTATTAAAACTGGAAAACTTCACACTGTAAACACGAAATAGATTTTGTCGTTACAGTTCGGTGTGTTACATTATTTGAAAAACAATCAATGGAGCACCTGTTTATGTTGGAAACACTAATCATTAATGGGCTAAACAATAAAATAAATGCTGATATCAAATTAGAATACCACCCAAATCCCCATGAAAATTAAATAGTTTCTCCCTTTCAACTCCGAACATCCGGGTCACAGCGATTCAGTACGTGACATACTGAACGCACTGTCAGTGAAATAATCCGGGTAGTGTATGATTCATATGACCCAGGTCAACGTGACATTTACATCAAGGCTATAAGCAATAAATATAAATAGGCAGGAATGATCGCTAATCTTAGTTCAACTTTCATTGATTTTACGTCGTAGTGTAATTTGCGCATTGTATTTGAATTGATCGCGTGTGGCGTCTCACTGCGGTTGGGTTGAAGGCGATCTACTCCAGCCGTTCTGTACGTGACTTGCACAGTGTGGACAGTCTGTTGACACACACTTATAACATCCGGGTTTCTGGACCGTGGTTGTAATGTTTATGACCCCCGACACGTCACCACTTAACACTATTTGGGATATTTGCAATACCTGGCCCATGACAGCACGTTTGTAAACAGGACTGAGGATAAAACTCGTGTTTTGTAATTATTGATTTTGTAATTTTCATTTAAAAACCTAAACGCGATGTTCAGGTTTGCTGTAACTTGTTGAAATAACATTTAAAAAATGGTGTGCTTTATTATTTGTGTTTGAAAGCCAGCCATTTCATCGACAACATGAATCTCAGATAAACCTCCAAATGCAAAATTAATGTTCACCAGCGTATATGTGTGTATGACTGATAGCAATACGTAGTGAATACGCCCAATCATTTGGATCACCAATGATTAAATTCTGGATAACAAATAATGGAATTGCTTTCCCGGAGTCTCTCGGTTCTATTCATTCTTAAAGTGGAAGGAATAATCTGTTTTCAACAATAAACTGAGACTGCCAAAAACAAAATGGTTGTCCTGGACACCGACTGACTTACTGCTGTGCTCATATCATGGCATTGTGATTCAGTGATTCAGTGATTCAGTGATTCAGTGATATATGTCTTTATAATGGTTCAGCGATTCGCTATTATATTTGAAAATCACTGCCACAACGTGTGGTACAGTGAAGCGTTGTTGTGTCTGTATGGCGGTATAGTGAAGCTTGTTGTGTCTGTATGGCGGTATAGTGAAGCTTGTTGTGTCTGTATGGCGGTATAGTGAAGCGTTGTTGTGTCTGTATGGCGGTATAGTGAAGCGTTGTTGTTGTCTGTATGGCGGTATAGTGAACTACTGCTATCACCACAGGTTTGTTCAACGAGTGTTTCACGCCCCTCAATTACTAAATCGAATACCGTTGTCGCGGTCGTACGTGATACAAAGAGCGTAGTCACTCTAACGGCGACCTTTGAATACCGTGACGCCAAACACGAGGAAGTGTTTGCAAACAGAAACGTGTTTAAGGTCACTGAAGGTATGTGTATCTGTGTATGTTGTATGCATGTGCATGCATGTCTTCGTGCAGAACACTACCTGAACTCGATTAGCTGTCAGTAAAGAACACGATTAATTACGCACACAAAGATTCATAATTTATTAGTTTATGTAAGTTAAGAAGTTTATGAAAGAGTGAATACAAAATGGGTATACCAAACCTATGATTATAGTGAATATGTTATTGCATGTTCTATACAGAGAGTGTCAGGTCAATATATTGCTAAGTGCTTTAATAACTCGCGAGGAAACTAAATCTAGAGTGCAAAGGACTTCCTCACCGAGACACCTGAAGCAATTGTCTGACGCTTCGATTTGACATGACCCGTTAAGAGACGGGGTAGAATAGGTCTGTGGCAACTCATTCTTGTCGTTAGGCGACTTTGCTTGTCGTAAGAAACGACTAACGGGATCGGGTGGTCAGGTTGACTTGGTTGATGAATGTCATGGTATCCCAATTGCGTAGATCAATGATCATGTCAATCACTGGATTGTCTGGTCCAGACTCGATTATTTACAGACCGCCGTCATACAGCTGGAATATTGCTGAGTGCGACGTTAAACAACAAACAAACAAAACAAATCGATTTGACACATTGCTTTAACAATGTGATATGATGACGTAAGAAAACGAGAACATTTCAGCAAGCTGTTGAGCCTTCTACATCTGAGAACTGTTAATCAAATGAATGCAGTAGTTTTGCAAACCATCCCCAGCTAACCTCAGCATGACTGCACATGTACCTTCATTCTTTCAGTGTTGTTCGTTATGTCGAAATTTTGAATTATACGATCTTTGTATCAAACTAACGGAAAGACACCATTCCAGTCTGAATGAACAATACTACACAAACCAACTCAACATTTCCCCATATCTACGAAGTGAGTGAGGCTTGATGCCGCCTTAACAGTATTTCATCTTCACAGTGTACCAGTGTAATGCAAGAGGTGAGGTGAAATAGGGTTTAACGTCGCTCCAAGATTATTGCACTAACATGTGCAGATAGCGACGTGCATGCACGTGTGCGTGTGTGTGTGTGTGTGGTTGCTTGTACTAGTGCGGACTAATGCCGATTTACAGTACCAGCACATTGAGATACCATGCCGCAGTTTAGCATGAATACCCCACTCAGACACAGTATACTGACTCCGAGCCGATCAGTTATTGTTTGAGCCCCTAAATGTCAAACGACAGTCAGGGTAACAACAAGTACCATCTTTTAACGTCTTTTGGTATGACGCGGCCGGGATCGAACCGCGGACCCTCCGCTCTCCGGGCGGACGCTCTACAACTAGACCACGGAGGCGGCCTTAAGCTGCATGAGATCTAACACCGTGCAGTTAGTTACAGGTAAGCTACACGTCGGCTCCACATCTGAAAGGTATTTCCTAAGCGATACAGGTCGTTGACCTTTACTGATGATGTAGGAGGAACGGCTACGGTGCATAATACGAATTCTGATAATGATAATAATAATAAGAATTCTCAATGCGCTAACTACCACGCAACAAAGCATGCTCAAAGCGCTAACAACACAACACACATACATGTGTACACTCAAGTCGAAAGCTAGGCTGTCAGACCAAAAAGGACCCTAAAATTTTAGGTAATGGGGCTGTTCTGAGGGAAATCGGAAGAACATTTCATTTCTCTGCAGTTATTTGCTTCCTCATCAATAACCCCAACCTGGACAAATCTTGGATTCAAACCCACAACCTGTGGACCCTGTTACTGCGACAGCTTGGCCACCATTTGCAGCACACGTTTTGAAGTTTTGTGCCTTTTTCATGCTATTCTTCTGTTACAATACATCCTTTGATTGGATGTGATGGACACTGTACTTTTGTGACCTGTGACATTTCTGATAATTAACTTAACCTTTTGAAATGATCCAACGGTACTGTTTCAAAGCGACGCCGACCCCTACCCCACTCAGATGACCGATGAGGCAGTGGATTAACCTAGTAGTTAAAGCGTAGGCCTGTCACGCCAGACAGGCACAATGACTGTAGCCATTTCTGGTGCCTTGATAATGCTAGAACATTGCAAAAAGAGCGTTAACCTCAACTCACTGACTTACTAAACTAAACTAAACTAATAGTAACGCTACGTACATGGGTAATGTTGTCCAGTGATAATGTGATCGACAACACACCTGTCTAGCGTCATACGACCTTGAAGGAGCTATGGCCTTAACGCATGTTTCGTTTGTTGATAAGATTGGAGTCATGGTACAAGGTACAAATAACAACCGTCTTCGTTCACGAGGGCTTCACACAACCATGTAACCTCTTGAGGGTCAAAGTGGTACACTGATGATACATATAAATACTTATCATTCCACAACTCCTCTTGGAGTTGTGCTCAGCTGAAGTTCCTCAATACTCTGTGGGTTGATTTGTGAGTGGGTATGGTTTAGCACGGCTTTTATAAATATTCAAACAATATCACAGTCGGGGACACCAGAAATCAAACCCGTGCACACGGCGTGACGAGCGAACGCTTTACTTGCAGGGCGACCTCACTATCACCTAGATAAGTTAACAGATTGTATGAGGCATTGTAGATATTTACGACTGTGATTCTGCAAGGCAATATTGGAGTACGGCGTGGCGAGCGAACGCTTTACTTGCAGGGCGACCTCACTATCACCTAGATAAGTTAACAGATTGTATGAGGCATTGTAGATATTTACGACTGTGATTCTACAAGGCAATATTATATGCAAATCGCTCGAGTATTAAACGTTTTCGGTCATCAACGAGGAGAAATTGATCTAATTGGCGGAAAATGCCCAAATAATAAGCCAAATTAATAAATATGCGTAGAGTTCAGACCCAGCACAAACTCACTCCGTATCAAACTACACATGAATGTATACATAATCGGGGCGAACCGGGATCATAGGTTTCTGGCGTGCTCTAGGGACGCCTTAGACGACTGGGCCACCCGTCCCCCCAACTAAGTATAATGCGACTACTCAATACCAAGGCAACATTTAATTCATGCAACGAAATGTGCTACATATGTCATTTTGATGTTTTAGTGCCAACGAGGAAACAGAAAATAATACCTTCCTCAATCAAGAAGTGCCGACGTGAACTAAGTGAGGACCTTCCGCGACTGAATCTCGACAGTAGTAGCTAGTACTAGGTCAGACGACCGCGTCTGTGGTCTAGTGAATCTCGACAGTAGTAGCTAGTACTAGGTCAGACGACCGCGTCTGTGGTCTAGTGAATCTCGACAGTAGTAGCTAGTACTAGGTCAGACGACCGCGTCTGTGGTCTAGTGAATCTCGACGGCAGTAACTAGTACTAGGTCAGACGACCGCGTCTGTGGTCTAGTGATAGAGCGTCCATCCGGAGAGCGGATCGATCCCCGGCCGCGTCAAACCAAAAGACTTTAAAAGATGGTACTTGTTGTTACCCTGCCTGTCGCTCGGCTTTCAGGGGTTAAAACGAGGACTGGTCGTCTCGGAGTCAGTATACTGTGTCTGGATGGGGTATTCATGTTGAACTGCGGCATGGTTTCTCAGCGGGCTTGCACTATAAAAATCGGCATCAGTCCGGGCGAGTACAAACAGCCACACACACACGTGCATGCACGTCGCAATATAAGTGCAATAATCTTGGACGCGACGCTAAACCCCATTTCACCTAACATCTAACCGGTCAGATCAGTCGCTTTATGCTATTCAGCGCACGTTACCAACTTACTCGCTTAGCGTTGGGATTACTTTTCGCGGCTCACATTGCTCGGTTGAAATGTATATGTACAGAAAGAAATTCAGACCTTGGAAGACGGTTGGTAAGTTGCCAAGTAGATTGTGTTTGGTACAACAAGATTATGGAATCCCGCAGCCAACCGTTTCCTATACTGATACTGAAACCATCAATCCGTCCGTCCTTGTGTGGAGACTGTTTGTTTGTTTGTTGTTTAACGCCGCACTCAGCAATATTCCAGCTATGGACCAGACAATCCAGTGATTTACATCATGAGCATGGATCCACGCAATTGGGACCGATGACATGCATCAACCAAGTCAGCGAGCCTGACCACCCGATCCCGTTAGTCGTTCACGACAAGCATAGTCGCCTTTTACGGCAAGAATGGGTTACTGAAGACCTATTCTACCCCGAAATCTTCACGGGTCGTGTGGAGACTGTGTTGAGGAAGACTGATATATGTGCCGAGGTGCTTTATTAAAGAATATTATATATTAAAGAAACGTGAGAGAAAGAATTTGAAAGACAAATGGGATTTTTCAAACAAAAGAATTTCTACAGGATTCTTGGTAGCTGAACACTTGAGCGAAACATGAACCTTTCAGGAACATATTGTGAAACATACACAAGGATGTGTAGTACACATGCAATAACGTAAGGCAAAAAGCATGTATGTAGATCAACCTGTGGTAACACATAACTTTAGTTGATAAGAATTAGACCGAGATAACCCTTAGATTGAAATTTAAAGAAAGCGTTGAACTTAAACAGTATGGAATGTAGATTCATCATTATGACATCACTTGGTATGAAAGAAATATCAGGGACTATTTAGAATAATGCATTATAACGTATATCAGGGACTATTTAGAATAATGCATTATAACGTATTTATAAGAAAATGTCACTTTGTCATAATGCACGTTTATTACGTGTAATAAACTACATAACTAACATCCAAATTTTACAGTATTTTTCAGTAATATATATCATATAAAATTTCTTTACCTGTTTAATTTCCTTGTATATTAGCCCGAAAGTTATATGGTGTACCCCTTCCTGCTGCTCGTTTGCCTGACAGCGCTCGACGATAGAAGCTCGCCGCGTCTCAGCGCTCTGTATTTATATTGCGAAGCGAGTTCAAGTGGGTCACGACTATTTTAGTTGACAGCCCAAGGCTTCTGGGTAAAAAGCTCACCGCTTGACGTCATAACCAAATGCGAACCTTCACCGGTTGACTATGACATTGTTCCAAGGACAATTGTTACTGTTAAAGCATAGGGATGTTGGAGACAAACCTCTGTATGACCCTGGATTTACCTTAATGAGAACCTTTAGTTATGCCCGAGGATGGGAGCTATAGCATTTCACGGTGATTTAGGGGTGATATAAGTGGTAAGGACTTGGAGACGAGTGTTTTTACAAGTAGGTTTTCATGACATAAACAGGGAGCAGCGTAACCTGTAAAGATAAGAGGTTTTGCTATATGTGTTGTACAACGACGAAATGTTTTGTGTACGACTGATACTGCAGCGATGTATATAGTATGTGTCGTTATGTGTACGACTGATACTGCAGCTATGTATATAGTATGTGTCGTTATGTGTACGACTGATACTGTAGCTATGTATATACTATTAGTATGTGTCGTTATGTGTTCGACTGATACTGCAGCTATGTATATAGTACGTGTCGTTATGTGTACGACTGATACTACAGCTATGTATATAGTATGTGTCGTTATGTGTACGACTGATACTACAGCTATGTATATAGTATGTGTCGTTATGTGTACGACTGATACTGCAGCTATGTATATAGTATGTGTCGTTATGTGTACGACTGATACTACAGCTATGTATATAGTATGTGTCGTTATGTGTACGACTGATACTACAGCTATGTATATAGTATGTGTCGTTATGTGTTCGACTGATACTACAGCTATATATATAGTATGTGTCGTTATGTGTTCGACTGATACTGCAGCTATGTATATAGTATGTGTCGTTATGTGTACGACTGATACTGCAGCTATGTATATAGTATGTGTCGTTATGTGTACGACTGATACTACAGCTATGTATATAGTATGTGTCGTTATGTGTACGACTGATACTACAGCTATGTATATAGTATGTGTCGTTATGTGTTCGACTGATACTACAGCTATGTATATAGTATGTGTCGTTATGTGTACGACTGATACTGCAGCTATGTATATAGTATGTGTCGTTATGTGTACGACTGATACTGTAACTATGTATATAGTATGTGTCGTTATGTGTACAACTGATACTGCAGCTATGTATATAGTACGTGTCGTTATGTGTACGACTGATACTGTAACTATGTATATAGTATGTGTCCTTATGTGTACAACTGATACTGTAGCTATGTATATAGTATGTGTCGTTATGTGTACGACTGATACTGCAGCTATGTATATAGTATGTGTCGTTATGTGTTCGACTGATACTACAGCTATGTATATACTATTAGTATGTGTCGTTATGTGTACGACTGATACTGCAGCTATGTATATAGTATGTGTCGTTATGTGTACTACTGATACTGTAACTATGTATATAGTATGTGTCGTTATGTGTACGACTGATACTGTAACTATGTATATAGTATGTGTCGTTATGTGTTCGACTGATACTGCAGCTATGTATATAGTATGTGTCGTTATGTGTACGACTGATACTGTAACTATGTATATAGTATGTGTCGTTATGTGTACGACTGATACTGCAGCTATGTATATAGTATGTGTCGTTATGTGTACGACTGATACAGTAACTATGTATATAGTATGTGTCGTTATGTGTTCTACTGATACTACAACTATGTATATAGTATGTGTCGTTATGTGTACGACTGATACTGTAACTATGTATATAGTATAACTGATACTGCAGCTATGTATATAGTATGTGTCGTTATGTGTACGACTGATACTGCAGCTATGTATATAGTATAACTGATACTGCAGCTATGTATATAGTATGTGTCGTTATGTGTACGACTGATACTACAGCTATGTATATAGTATGTGTCGTTATGTGTACGACTGATACTGCAGCTATGTATATAGTATGTGTCGTTATGTGTACGACTGATACTGTAACTATGTATATAGTATAACTGATACTGCAGCTATGTATATAGTATGTGTTGTTATGTGTACGACTGATACAGTAACTATGTATATAGTATAACTGATACTGCAGCTATGTATATAGTATGTGTCGTTATGTGTACGACTGATACTGCAGCTATGTATATAGTATGTGTCGTTATGTGTACGACTGATACTGCAGCTATGTATATAGTATGTGTCGTTATGTGTACGACTGATACTACAGCTATGTATATAGTATGTGTCGTTATGTGTACGACTGATACTGCAGCTATGTATATAGTATGTGTCGTTATGTGTTCGACTGATACTGCAGCTATGTATATAGTATGTGTCGTTATGTGTACGACTGAATATGCAGCTATGTATATAGTATTTGTCGTTATGTGTTCGACTGATACTGCAGCTATGTATATAGTATAACTGATACTGCAGCTATGCATATAGTATGTGTCGTTATGTGTTCGACTGAAACTGCAGCTATGTATATAGTATGTGTCGTTATGTGTACGACTGATACTGTAGCTATGTATATAGTATGTGTCGTTATGTGTACGACTGATACTGTAGCTATGTATATACTATTAGTATGTGTCGTTATGTGTTCGACTGATACTGCAGCTATGTATATAGTATGTGTCGTTATGTGTACGACTGATACTGTAGCTATGTATAAAGTATAACTGATACTGCAGCTATGTATATAGTATGTGTCGTTATGTGTACGACTGATACTGTAACTATGTATATAGTATGTGTCGTTATGTGTACGACTGATACTGTAGCTATGTATATACTATTAGTATGTGTCGTTATGTGTTCGACTGATACTGCAGCTATGTATATAGTATGTGTCGTTATGTGTACGACTGATACTGCAGCTATGTATATAGTATAACTGATACTGCAGCTATGTACATAGTATGTGTCGTTATGTGTACGACTGATACTGTAACTATGTATATAGTATGTGTCGTTATGTGTACGACTGATACTGCAGCTATGTATATAGTATGTGTCGTTATGTGTACGACTGATACTGCAGCTATGTATATACTATTAGTATGTGTCGTTATGTGTACGACTGATACTGTAACTATGTATATAGTATGTGTCGTTATGTGTACGACTGATACTGCAGCTATGTATATAGTATGTGTCGTTATGGGTACGACTGATACTGTAACTATGTATATAGTATGTGTCGTTATGTGTACGACTGATACTGTAACTATGTATATAGTATGTGTCGTTATGTGTACGACTGATACTGCAGCTATGTATATAGTATGTGTCGTTATGTGTACGACTGATACTGTAACTATGTATATAGTATGTGTCGTTATGTGTACGACTGATACTGCAGCTATGTATATAGTATGTGTCGTTATGTGTACGACTGATACTACAGCTATGTATATACTATTAGTATGTGTCGTTATGTGTACGACTGATACTGTAACTATGTATATAGTATGTGTCGTTATGTGTACGACTGATACTGCAGCTATGTATATAGTATGTGTCGTTATGTGTACGACTGATACTACAGCTATGTATATACTATTAGTATGTGTCGTTATGTGTACGACTGATACTGTAACTATGTATATAGTATGTGTCGTTATGTGTACGACTGATACTACAGCTATGTATATAGTATGTGTCGTTATGTGTACGACTGATACTACAACTATGTATATAGTATGTGTCGTTATGTGTACGACTGATACTACAACTATGTATATACTATTAGTATGTGTCGTTATGTGTTCGACTGATACTGCAGCTATGTATATACTATTAGTATGTGTCGTTATGTGTTCGACTGATACTGCAGCTATGTATATAGTATGTGTCGTTATGTGTACGACTGATACTGCAGCGATGTATATAGTATGTGTCGTTATGTGTACGACTAATACTGTAGCTATGTATATACTATTAGTATGTGTCGTTATGTGTTCGACTGATACTGCAACTATGTATATAGTACGTGTCGTTATGTGTACGACTGATACTGTAACTAGTATATATAGTATGTGTCGTTATGTGTACGACTGATACTGCAGCTATGTATATAGTACGTGTCGTTATGTGTACGACTGATACTGTAACTAGTATATATAGTATGTGTCGTTATGTGTACGACTGATACTACAGCTATGTATATAGTATGTGTCGTTATGTGTTCGACTGATACTGCAGCTATGTATATAGTATGTGTCGTTATGTGTTCGACTGATACTACAGCTATGTATATAGTATGTGTCGTTATGTGTTCGACTGATACTGCAGCTATGTATATAGTATGTGTCGTTATGTGTACGACTGATACTACAACTATGTATATACTATTAGTATGTGTCGTTATGCGTACGACTGATACTGCAGCTATGTATATAGTATGTGTCGTTATGTGTACGACTGATACTACAGCTATGTATATAGTATGTGTCGTTATGTGTACGACTGATACTGCAGCTATGTATATAGTATGTGTCGTTATGTGTACGACTGATACTACAGCTATATATATAGTATGTGTCGTTATGTGTACGACTGATACTGCAGCGATGTATATAGTATGTGTCGTTATGTGTACGACTGATACTGCACCTATATATATAGTATGTGTCGTTATGTGTACGACTGATACTGCAGCTATGTATATAGTATGTGTCGTTATGTGTACGACTGATACTGCAGCTATGTATATAGTATGTGTCGTTATGTGTACGACTGATACTACAGCTATGTATATAGTATGTGTCGTTATGTGTACGACTGATACTACAGCTATGTATATACTATTAGTATGTGTCGTTATGTGTACGACTGATACTGCACCTATATATATAGTATGTGTCGTTATGTGTACGACTGATACTGCAGCTATGTATATAGTATGTGTCGTTATGTGTACGACTGATACTGCAGCTATATATATAGTATGTGTCGTTATGTTTACGA